AGTTTAAAATGCATGCAGAGTTCTTTGAAATGTAGTCTTTGTATTCATGTTGGTTTCATAAGGCTTTGAAAAGCTTGCATAATTTTTAAGAGATACTTAAATTGAATGACACTAAAGGCATGTTAACACTTAGCATATTTGATTTGATAAAAAAAAAAAAATTGGAACACTTTAGTATAGGGACCAATTATAACTATTGACTAGTTGCTTATTGGCATGCCTATTATTAAAGGGGTCATATGATGCGATTTCAATTTTTCCTTTCTCTTTGGAGTGTTACAAGCTCTTGGTGCATAAAGAAGATCAGTAAAGTTGCAAAGACTAAAGTCTCAAATCCAAAGAGATATTCTTTATAAAAGTTAAGAGGCAGCAACACCTACCTAAAACGGCTCGTTCTAACACGCCCCCACATACCTACGTCACTATCTGGGAAGATTTGCTCATTACACCAAATACACAAAATAATGTATTTTTAGCAGTATCATATGACCCCTTTAACATATTGGCTGTTTATTAGTAATATATTATTACTTATTAAAGGGATAGTTCACACAAAAATGAAAATTCTGTTGTTAATTACTGTACTCACCCTCATGTTGTTCCAAACCCGTAAGACCTCCGTTCATCTTCACATTTTTGATGGAATCTGAGAGCTCTCTGACCCTCCCATAGACAGCAAGGATCCTTGTGTCAGCTGTGCCACGCGGATATGTTTTCTATGTTGTTTGCGCTTTGATCTGAACGAAAACAACGCATCCGTGTTGCATCAATGCATCAAAAATATCTTAATTTGTGTTTAGAAGATGAACGGAGGTCTTACGGGTTTGGAATGACATGAAGATGAGTAATTAATGACAGAATTTCCATTTTTGGGTGAACTAACCCTTTAAGCACGTATTCTGCAGGAACATATTCTACATCCCTAATCCTACCCTTATTGAGGCAAACGTTGTAGTTAATGATTTGTTAATAGTGAGAATTGGACCTTAAAATAAAGTGTGACCAAAAAAGAAAGCAATTGCTCTGTTAGTGTGGTTCATTTGAGTAAGTGTGAATGTTGCCTCCCAAACCCTGGAGCGCACCAAACAAGTGCTTCAAACCGAATTCTGGTGTGCTTTGACTGAGAGAGTGTTCACACTGGGCAGGTTTAATTCGATTACAATGAACTCGATTGCTCTGTTAGTGTGAACGCTGCCACTGGAACCCTGGTGCGCACCAAACAAGCGGACCAAGACTCCTGAAAAGGTGGGTTTTTGGTCCACTTCCGAACAAACTTTGGTGTGCTTCGACTGAAATATGAATGCAACATGGACCAAAGACATCTAAACAAACAAAAACATGCCATGAAGTCACATGATTCGACTCTAAACAGGACAGAATTATCACACATACCCATTTTTTTTTTTTGTAATAGTCGTGATGTTGCTCATTAGGGTTGAGTACAGGCTTTGAAACTGCATCTTCTTGCAATGGAGAAATTCTTGCTGATCTTTTGACTCCTTTACACATTTTATAAGCACTTCTTGAGTTATCCGCTGATATCATGTTATTTATTATGTTATCCGCATGGTTTAAATACCACCATAAAGTATGTGCACACTTACGAGTACATTTAGCCTAGCAAATAGCATTGTTTGTTCATAAGTTCACAAAATATACATCCTAAAAGCGGTCCAGTTGAACATAATGTTGTCCATATATCTAATGTCTTTTGTTTTGTATCTTTAGGTTTGGTCTTAAAATTGACAATGTGAACGCTAAGTGAACCAGGACTAAATGTATAATTTTCTTTCAAAATAACTAAGAGAACCAAACTAATAAAAGTGTAAACACACCATAAAAATGTCATGTGGTTTAACCATCAAATACAAAGTAAAGACATATTTTCCTTACACCCTGAATAAATATAAGTATACACATCTAAACCATTATTTTCAACAAGGTTTTTATTATTTTATTGTTTTGTAAACATCAAGTTTTTGTAGAGTCACACCACATGACATTCCACAACCTGAACTAATCTTGTCTAGCCATGAAAAGTTGTATTTTAAGTTTACACACAGTCAGGAGGGTCTGCAGGGGTCCTCTATTATTATAGAATTTACTGTTTTTTTTTTTCCTTCAAGTTCATTGGATCATATGACCTTGTTGGTCGCACCACATGACAAATATTTATAATCAATGAAGCAGTTTTGTTAAAATGTTTTTTTTTATTTTTTTTTTTTAAATGTCATTCTGTTAATGAGGCATGTTTCTTCATTATGATATCAGGACTGTTTTGTCCATTAGACATTTTTGACGTTATGCCCCTAATAAATATGAAAATCAATAGGGGCGCAACGGTTCAACTTACTCTCGGTTCGATATGTATCACGGTTTTAGGGTCACGGTCTCGATACGGTTCGGTATGTGCTATGTTTAGGGGGAAAACTATATTGTCAAATAAAAATAAAGAAAATAAGAACAAATAACCTAACTACAAGCAACAGCACAAATAAATGCAATAGAGCAAAGATACAAATAAAATAAACAGTGCTTTTCAGGTTTTTTAGGTAGGTCTAACAGTTTTTAGGTACAGAAATTGAATAAAGTAATCAAATGTAAAACTACATTGCATATTTGACTGTATGAGCGACCACACAGATCTTCTCACTCCGCGCGCGAGTTCACGTCTTCTGGCTCTTTAATATTTAAACTGGCAAGGCTTAAATGAGTTTAGTTTAAACACAGATAGCAACGTGTGCTGTTCTGGTCTCACCTGCGCTATCAACACGTGATGACGGCATAAATGACAGTTATTCCCGCATAAAGCACTCGCATTGAACAAAGAGTGATTGGTTTGTCCACGTATTGTTTTTTTTTTTCTCTCATCGCTCTTGTTGTAATGTATTGGGAAGCCAGAATTTGTATCCATCAACAGAAACATGCATTAGCCGAACTCTTAACAAACCATGTTACAGATGCATTGTCAGATTTAAGTTGAACCGCGGTCCTAGTGCATGCCGAACCGTGTGTGGAAAACCGTACGGTTCGATTGTTTACCGAGAACCATTGCACCCCTAAAAATCAATTTTAATACAAAAAGTTAAAAGGATGTTCATCATTGTAGAGGTGTAAGTAATAAAATGTATGAATTTAATTTTCTCATATGTTTTTTAATTCACTGATGGGATGTTGATTTGAGCATTGAATAGTCAAAACAGTTCATCTCAAAAACACAGGATGAGTATTTTGATATCATCTGTTTATTGTTAGAAATTTCACGTGATAGCCCAGACTCCTGCAAGAGTTGTCAGGTGATTTGTGCACGCTGTGCTTTTAGCTTGTGGAAAGGTCATCTCTCTTCACCTGCAGCTCCAGAGGGAGTAATTACAGACCGATGTGACCACCCACGTCTCTCTTGTCTCTCGCCCCTCTCTCTCCAAACACGCCGCAGAACTCATGCTCAGCTGAGACACATGGGTCCCTGCCCTTGTTTTATCGATTTTTATTCGAACAATTTTTTAATTATACCAGCAACTTCTCTCACACTGCTGCAGCTCTCTTCTGCAGAACAAAGAATTATTCTGAATCTCTGTAGTATAATCTTTCAAATAAATTAGCCGGATTTCTCTTATCTCAAGTCTCAAGGTCTCAAGTCTGCTTTATTGTCAATTCTTCCACATGTACAGCACATACACACAGAGAATTGAAATTGCGTTAC